TTTTTAGTAGAGACGGGGTCTCGCTCTTGCTCAGGCTGGTCTCGAACTCCTGAGCTCAAAGAATCCATGCGCCTCGGCCTCCTAGAGTGCTAGGATTACAGGCATGAGCCACTGCGCCCGGCCTTAATTTTTTTTTTATGTCAGCATATTACGGGGGTACAGATGTTTAGGTTAGGTATATTGCCTTTTCCCCAACCAAGTCAGAGCTTCAAGTGTGTCCATCCCTCAGTACACTCATTAGGTGGGAGAAAGAGATGGATATATACACACCTAAATGGTTTTTAATATTTTAAAACTCATATTTAATAAGTGAAATGTTGTTCTGCCACCAATGTTAAACTACCTTATTTTGTCCAAGATTGTAGTTAATAGATGAAAGTAATGTACTATTTGGGTAACACAGTGGAATAACTTCTTTAGTAATCTCTTTCCTGAGGATCTAAAATTTCAATAATTTGGAGAACACTGTTCTTATAGTTACTATTTTGTCTTTATTTTTCTTTTTTGTAACTATGGGGATGTTGATATGGTTCTAATAAAGATTATGTGAGAGTAAAATTCAAAACCATACCTTTAAATTCTAAATTACTAGTCATAAAACTTTATCCAGTATTTTTCTTCACACATGATCCTTTTATGCCCCAGTTGAACACATAGAGATGTTTTGTTTTGATTTACATTGAATGCAGTAGATAAGATATCAAGCTAAAAATAAACTTTGTGTAAGAGAACTACAGAGGAAGAAAGGCATGTGTATGTACCTATCTTCAGAAGGAAATGGAAATAGTGGATCAAAACAGATAATTTCAGAAGAGTTGATTTACAAGCAAACTAGACCTTAAAAATTCTCAAAGCAAACTTAAAATTTCTCTACTGTTCATTAAATTTATTTCTTAGAAATCTTATATCTCCAAAGTACAGCATCCCCCCATACAATTTTTTTTTTTTTTTTTTTTTTTTACTTTCTGCTTATTCAGTTAGAGTAATTATATGATTTTCTTGTCCTTCAGATTGTTGGACAAAAATGGACTGTCACACCCTCACTTTATGCTGGGGCAGCTTCCACTCTTCAAGCTGCACAGAACAGCAGGATAGAGATTCCAACTGCATCTTCTCACTTTCAAACTTATCCACAAAACTAACTGCTATTATGGATGCAGAATTTTTCACATGCTTTTCTAACAGTAATTCTTCATCTAGCTTTTGTACCTTCATCTCAGCTGATAACTGGCTTCTGTGGCCACTTGCAGATCTAGTAAGGGCCAATCCACTGTTTATGCCACATGCTGATAGTCCTTACCCAAGGGGATAATGCAATTTTCTACTGAAGAGTTCTCTAGTCCCTCTGAAATTTTAGGGACATCCCTGTACTCAGTAGTCCACATGCACCTCAAAAATGGGCAACACCACATATAGATGAGGAGTTACACCCCAGATTTTCCACTCCAATACTTTCTTCCCCTTCCTCATACCTTGCTTACTGGTCTTATGCTGGCTAGCTTACCAATTGTTTTGTAAATGGTCCATACATGCGAAGTGATGTCCAAATTCAGAAGGAACAAAGAAAGAGGCAGACAAATCCAGTTAGTCAGTAGAGGATGATTTATTGGGGGAATTTATGGACAAATATATGGTCATGAGTGGCAATAAGAGGTGGATCTCCATGCTGTTACACCCCAGATACGGGGCTTATATACTATTTAAAAAAGAGTATACATGTAAATGTGCAGGACAATTAAAATTGACCATCCGGGAAAAGACAAAAATGTCAATTCTATGTACTTCATAGCTTGTAACTTCTGTGATCACATCAAGGTTGTTTTGACCTAAGGATAGAATTTGTGGTAATATGTGCTCTTACACAGAAACAGGTGATAAAGTAAAAGTCTGAGAGGCATTCACAGAACAGGGTTTAATCAGAAGTAAACATGGCATATTACCATTCAAGAGGGAGTTACTTTAGCTTCCACGAAGCTCCCTCTCCAGTTCCATGGGGCCCTTAGTGTTCAGAGGAGCCCAGTGGAAACTCTCAACCAAGGAGTTTGGATATGTTTGGTTCTCAAATAAAAGGCACTTGAACAAGTCCCCATTATGCCCAAATTTATTCTTCCTTCTTTTCCCTCTCCACAGAAAAAGTTCCAGAGAATTAAAAAATCTTCACAAAACACACTAAGCAGGGTCTGCTCATCGATAAAAGGTGGAGGCCAGAAGATGGGGAGTAAAGTATGTGGGGGGCAAAGAAAATGGAAAAGAGGCACTGAGTCAGCTTTGTGTGTGTTTTATCTTCTCACTGAAAGTTTACTTTAAAAAT